ACAACACAACTTCGAACATTGATTACAATGAGCTGGAACTGTTTGTTTGTTGCGTACATACACGGACGGAGCCTTGGGGGGTTGGTTTGGGTTAGTTTCTAAAATATATCGAAAGTTGGGAAAACTTGGATAAAAAATTTAAAATTGGGAAAAATCGGTAGACAAAAATTTGCGCAGCTTATTTGCGAGGACTACTTAAAATTAACATAGGATCGTGTCACGTATCGTAATTATGAATTATTGCAAAATCACCGGACAACAGGATGACGAAATCCCAATGGTCGCAGCAATCTCTTGCGTCGCACTTTGCACTGCACTAGCGCCACTAGCCTGTGGTAGTGGCACATGGCACTCTTGGCATTAGTGGCACGAGTGCCACTATAGTCGGGCCACCGAAGAAATGTAGTTGTAAAACGATTACCTGCTAACCGACGCCCATAAATTATCCCGCAACCCTCTGAAGAACAGATCATTTCATAGTGGAGCGCATTTAGTTAATGTTGTTCGTCTGTGACATTGTGCTGTGATTCGAATTGTGCTATTTTAGATTTTTTTTTTGCGATTCAATTTGTTTTTTTTCCATGGATCCTAATGATGGAAATTTATCTCCACCAAGAAGACGGAGGAAAAGACATTTCTCAGTGTCTGAAAAGGAGACAATCCTAAATACCTTCAAAACTTGTGACCGAAATCATGCAGATTGTACAAAAACTGAGAAAGTGAATTTCACAGCAGAGGCCATGGGTATTGGAGTAGCCAGCATTTACAACGTTCTTCGGGAACACAAAAACGAGCATGAACTGAAGCCAGCCAAAGCTTACAAAAGAAAAAAATCTGTTTTGGACAATATAGATATATAGAAACAAAAAATTCAGTTCGGAGATTAATTCATTCATTTTTTATCAAGAACGAGTCTCCTAGTGTAAAGGCAATATTAGCAGCTATTCAAGAGCCAGAGGACATCCCTAATTTCAAGAAAAGCTCGTTTAAAAAGTTGCTCCGTGAACTTGGTTTTCGGTATGGTAGAAGAAGTCGAAATAGCATGCTAAAAGAAAAAAATGAAATTGTGAGCTGGAGGCGACGCTATTTACGGAATATCCAAGCAGTATAAGGGCGAGTGGAAAAAAGATTTATTATCTGAACGAAACCCGGATTAATGCTGGCCATGTCACTTCAAAAGTATGGAGCGACGAAACTGTCACTACGGCGAGGCAAGCTTTCGTAAATGGACTATCTACAGGACTGAAGAATCCCACAGGTAAAGGACAAAGACTCATTATATTACATATTGGTTCAGACGATGGATTTGTTGAGAACGGCTTGCTCCTCTTTCAATCAAAGAAAACTGGAGACTATCACGAGGACATGAATTCCCAAGTCTTCGAGCAATGGTTTGAAAATATTTTACCTCGCTTGGAAGAAAATTGTGTCATAGTGATGGACAATGCATCTTACCATTCTAGAAAAATTGATAAGAAACCGACATCATCTACGAAAAAAGCTGATATACAATCATGGCTAACTAGGAAAAATATAGGCTTTGAAGAGGATATGGTGAAGGCAGAACTATTAACGCTCGTAAACGAAAGTTTTCACAAGAACCAATACGTAATTGATGAAATGGCCAGAGCTTGCAATAGAACAGTCGAAAGATTACCTCCCCAGTAGCACACAATGTTGGTCCCATGTTGCGGATACATTGGACCAATATTGTATGTTGGCCCAATATTGGAATTTTTTAGCCAACATTGGACATTTATTGGCAATACAACTTATTTCATCATTATAATAATATATTTATCCAAGAATGGGCCAATATGCACAAACAATATTTTTATCGGCAGCATATAGCCAAGATTGTTACATATTGGCAATATATATTTTTCTTATATAACAGTGATATATTTATCCATCATTGAACCGATAAGCACAAAAAAATTGTTTTTTTTTGCATTATTGAGCCAATATTGGCAATACATATTTTTCCACATTGTAATATTATATTCACTTAAGAATGGGCTAATATACAGAAAAAATATCTTCATTGACATTATTTAGACAAAATTGGTGGATTATTGGCAATACAACTTTTTCTAATATTACCATAGTATTGTATCCATTAATAAACCAATATGCACAGATAATGTTTTTATTTGCATTATTAAGCCAATATTGGATATAATATGGCAAAACAAATTTTTCTAATATAACAGTGATATATTTATCCATATTGGCCAAATATTGATTCTATATTGGTAAAATATTGTATATGGGTCCAATATTAGCAATTTGTAGCCAATATTGGTAATATATTGGAGATTATTCTTTTTCCTACATTATTATTATATAATATGTGAATCCAAGATTGATCCAATATTGGATCCAATCCATGTTTGGCAATATCTTTTATTCATGTTTATATTTAATATTTATCCAATATTGGTGATATATAGGAGATGTACCTTTTCCATATCAATCAGGACTACTGAGAGAGGGCATCACGCGCTACTGATGGCCTTGCTCTTTCCTAGTGTCTGAGTTTCCTTCAAACCTGTTTCTTTAAGTTGGTGTGCTTCGCTCACAAGTTCGAAGCCGGAAACCGGTCTAGTCTGCAGGTGTTGGAGCTTTGGTACATGTGTTTTTCCAAAAAAATATTATAAATATTTCTAGGAAATATTGTAAATATTTCTAGAAGAGATATTTCATATTTATTAATTGGTAATATGGGAGAAATATTTATATTCACTATCGGATTCATATAAAAAGTATACATTGTGCCAATCTGAAAAACAAATATTGGGTATATTTCTAAAAGCAATATTACATGTTTATTGATAAGCAATATTGGAACAATATCTTTCTCCAATATCGGATTCATATTTACAATATATATTGGGCAAAAAAAAAAAATCTGTCGTTTCCATTCTTGGGCCAATATTTAAATATAATATTTTACCAATATTGTTGTGCTACTGGGGCTCCGTACTACTGCGAATTAAATCCTATTGAGTTGATATGGGCACAAATCAAAGGAGAAGTGGCCCGAAAAAATACAACCTTCAAAATTGCAGATGTTGAAATTTTTTTTAATGAAGCAGTCTACAACGTTAGTCCTGAAAATTGGAAAAATGCTGTTGGGCATGTGCTGAAAGTGGAGGCAAGTATGTGGACTATGGATGCTATGATGGAAACCAGAATAGAGCCCCTGATTGTTAACTTTGATGGTGATGAATCATCATCATCGTCATCCGACTCTGAATAATTTCTCCGCATCCGCGTTTTCATGTTTAGCTTTTTTCCTAATAAATTGCATTTGTTATTAAATTAGGTAGGTAGTCACCTATACATTTTATCCAAATCGCTCTTTTAATATTAAACAAATTGTCTATGCCAAATAAACAAATTATGTGATTTAGTTAAATACTTATAAATATATTACTCATTATTATAAATAATAACATTTGTTTTATTTAAAATCGAGTGTTTCTCAATCTCAGCATACACATAAATTTGTAATTTTTTTTTTCTATTTATCCCTCAGTAATAAAATAGGTACCCATCTTACCTATAAGATAATTTATGTAAAATTATAATAAATATGTAAACCAAAGTTAACAGCAACAGGTAGGTATACAAAATATTTGGTGGCCTTTTGGGCGGTCATGAAATTTTAACCTTTTAGGAAAAACATTTGGTGGGTCAAAGGTTTTAGAAAACAATTTCTAGAAGATTAAAAAAAAAAATAAAGTTGGAGTACACCATAATTATTATATAAAATCATCATTTTACCTGAGCAAGAAATTACTGAGTACCTACCTACATTCTCGAAACTAGAAAATGTATATTCTATAATGAGTTAATAATCATATAGGTTACCTGAATTAGAGAATACTTAAAATTAGGTATATAGATTTTCATTGTAATTTTAACCCAAAATAATTTATTGGAATCGCATTCATGCATATACATACTCACATACTGATAAAATTAATTCATGCTTTTATTAAATTTGATTAATCATGAGAAGGTATAAAGTGGGTGAAAACCCGCTCGTCTATTGCCTGTCAGACCCCTCGAAAGTTTAGCGCCCGGTTTTATTGCTATATTTCTTCGGTGGCCCGACTATAGCATGCACTATTCAAGAGTCAATATCAAAGACCGACGTAGTTATATCTATAGCTTGTTGCAAGCGCGTCGTGTTTGAGAGAGATGGACAATATAGTATATTAGATAATCCAAACTTCTCATGTTGCTTTCTGCGTTCTGCGCATTCTTCGCTCGCTATTCAGATTTCAGCAAAGCACTGAATCCTTTGCTCTTGAGTTGAAGAAATAGTTTTTGGTTTTTTCAAACATTTTTCTTATACACGTTTTTATACAGTGTTTATTTTATTTGATTATATTATTTGTAGGTCTGGAATATACATACACCGTGATTTACATAGCCCGTGCATTTGAAGTTGTCCAGTTTGCAGGTGGAATAGTAGAAATAGCATCTAATCCACCTGCAGGCTAATGCATGGGCTACGTAAATCACCCTGTATACATGTCAAACTTTTTATCAGTTTTTGAAGTGAAACTTCTTGAGCTGGAGTCTCATGCATCCGTTTTCCGACTTCTGATGTCCGAAAAACCTTCTATTCTGACATATTTTTATACGATTATGTCAGAATAGAAGGTTTTTCGGACATTGGACGTCGGAAAACGGATGCATGAGACTCAGATTTTAGGCGGCGCACAGACTGGTATATTTGCTAAAAACCTGGCCAAAAATATTTTGTTTTTTATTTGAACTCTTTTTAAATAATAACAGTTTATTTTCACGTAATAAAGTAAGTTTATAAGTCAAACGGTAATTATTTATTTATTTTATCAATAATAATAATAATAACAACAAAAGTTATTCCGTCCATTATGAAATTATTCTACTAAAAAAAAAAACATAGAAACTCTGATATAACATAGAAATTAAAAATACAATTATTCGTATGAGATTACAGTCTATTCTGTGTCACTTTCATCACTGGAGTCAAGATCTGGTTCTGGTTGTAAAAGCTCCAGTGCTTCTTTTGTGAATGACTGTTTTTTTCTACTAGTTTTAGGCTTTATGCTACTTAAGTAGGGGTCTGAGGTCAACAAAAGCCGATTTAGAACATCTTCATTACATTCTTTTCTGGAAAATTTTTGCGAGAAGCTTTCCCGGTACTGGCGGAAATGCTTATTCCTGGCTTCCGCAGCTTCTTCCGACAACTGACCGATTGGTAATAAAGCATGTGCTATAACACTGGCTGAGTGTGTTAAAATTGTATGTATGGTTGGTGACATAGGCTGCCAAGGATATAAATTTACATAGAGCTTCGCCGTATCCATAGTGTACATAGAGAATTTTTCCACGTCTATTTTGAAACCAGAAGATAACACTTCTAATATTATTTTAAATCTGTTTATCAGTTCGAAGTCTATTCCTGTGATAGCAGCTGCTTCTTCTACATTGTTGAAAAATCTACGTGACGTGTTTCCGTCATTGGTATTGCCATATCCAGCTTTCGGGATGTCCACCAGCAATCCCATTTTCTGGCGGAATTCTTTTTGCATGTTTTGTTTTGCAGTTTGAATTTTCTCTTTGTCAGTTTTTATTGTAACGCGACTTTCACGTACTCCTGCCTTTACTTTGTATGACAAATGTAGTAGATACTCAAAAAATCTAATTCTTGCGTGTAATATTGACAACCCAAACTGAAGTGTTTCATGTTTTTCTGGGCTCTCCTTTGTCAAGTCATTAAAGTTTTTTGATGTTTTACCACATATGTAACAGCGCATAGTCGAAGTAGTGTTAGTGGCAGCATTGCATACTTTCCCATCTACCATTGTTGGCAGTAATTTATGTCTAATTTCAATATTTTCTTTCAACTTTGTCGCTTGCAGATTTCTGGCCTGCTTTTCCACGTATTCAATCTCCTCATTAGTGATGTCTTTATTTTCTTTGACAAATCTCATTCTGATAGGCCTGCAAAATCTAGGTGATGATGGATTAGGGTTTTGCCATATATTTTGTTTTCCACACAGTAGTCTAACTGGTACAAGGGAACTTAGAAAAATGTTAGCATCACTGTCGCTCTCATCTTCAAATTTTTGCTTATATTCACATTGCTTGGACCCATCACAACCCCACTTAAATATAAGCACAAATTCTTTATTTTCACTTTGGATATTTTCCAGAACTGGTTCCAAATATCTACAAAGCCGCCAAGTTGTATGATCGACCAAATCTTGCAATTTCACTTTAGCAAAAGTTTCGCCATTATTTTTTGGTGGGTAACAATCCTGTTTAGCATTTTGCACGTATTTATAACATGGATATACATCTTTGTTGGCTTGCCGAATCACCTCGTACTGACTCATGGTCAAATAAGCTTCGACGAGTACTGCCAAAGCCTCTTCTGGCGAGTGTTTCTTCGTAGTAGTTTTTTGACTACCAAGAACTGCTAGTTTACGAAATTTTGCTGCACTAGTTGCAGATTTAGTGACATCTTTAATTATTTTTGCTGCGTCAATATTACCTGCAGCTCGCTGACTCATCTGTGTAGCGTATGTCAACTTATCAAGAGGGACATTCATTCTAAGCTCCAGTGTATTACGCCGCTTTGATCGGTCACTTAATTCTCCAAATTCTTTATTTGGTCGACCTTTGGAACTGGAAGCAACTGAGGCGACAGGAAATGAAATTTCTTCATTTAGCCATTCTTGATTCTTTTCCAAGAAACGACTTTCTGTACTATTGCACGAGAGCCATTTACGCTTATAAACAGTTTTAAAATTCTTGATGGTATCTTGAAGTACATCGATTTTCTCAGGCGGACACTTTGTAATGGTAACTAATTTGTCTTCTAAATCTATCAGTTTTTCATCAAACAGTCGCTTTGTGCTTTCTCTGACTAGATCATGCAGTTGTCTTCTAGTCATAGATTTGACGGAATCTGTATACATATATATACATATATATCAATATATATATACATATATATATATATTTTTTTAATGTGAAAACTTGGGAAAACTTTTCTGCGGTATAGTAATTCTGCATATTCTGAAGTTTAACGACAAGTAACATTTACGCAGTTGCGATGCGTTGCATATATTTAAAAACATTAATTCATGCAGAAAAAGTAATTAAAATAGGATATTTTGTAGTAAACGATCAAGATCGGTATATACACGTATAAAAACTTTCCAGTATCCATTAAAATATAACTACTACAATATACATACCTTCTCTAACAGTATCCATGATAAGTTTCGATACAGAACATATCGTAACGAAAAGACGCTTCTGAACAGAATACTGCGAACTAATATTTCCGATTGCACGGACCAGTGAATGGTTGCCTTATCACAGATAAGAAGTCCACATGCGACGGCATGTGTCCACATGCGACGGCATGTTTATCTACCAGTTAAACGCACCTATAAACAGCGTTGTTTTTATTGTTTACAATTTTGATATTTTGGCCAGGTTTTCAATTAAAATACTAGTCTGTGCGGCGGTCTGATATTTAGACGATAATATGGAGAGTGATTTGAAAAACGCATCACGTGACGTCACGTTTTGGCACATTTCGTTACACGGGCGACGAGAGAGAAGGAAGATATTATAACGTAGACTGTAGAGAGACGGAGAAAGCGAGCCAATGACAAACGAAGAACGATTGACACAAACCAAGGATTATAAACAAAAAGGATTGCCTATTATTGTCAAGCGCCGATACACTTGTGACGTCACTATAGATGCGCGTCTCCCTTTTGTGTGGCTCTTCGTCTTCACCCCGACTCATACGCTAAGTCTAAAAACTGTATGAAGGAGGGGATCGTTTTTAAAAAGTGTTACTTCTTAACACGTGTATGTGCTACACATGATTTTTTTGAAGTTAAACTTCTTAGGCGGCGGTCTGATTTGGACGAGAATGGAAAGTGATTTGAAAGACGCGTCATGTTACAAGTAACGACGCGTTTTGGCAAATTTCGGCACACGAGAGAGGGGAAAGATTTAACGTAGAGAGACGGAGAAAGACAGGCAATGACAATGACAGCCCACGAACGATTGACACAAACCAAGGTTTATAAGCAAAGTGGATTGCCTATTATTTTCAAGCGCCGCACAGTGTTTTGGAATGGGAAAAATGGTGACCATCTGACGAAAAAGTCAAAGTTGAAAAAATAATTTTTTTTCTATAGTCACAGGTTGTTAAGACCGTAAGCTATGCCAGTACTAATTAGTTTTTTTTTACAACTGCTGGTTTGCGAATATATTTAATTCAAAATTGCTCTTCTGTGATTCACAAAATCTTAGGCTAAAACCTTTTCTATTTTCAAAAATTTTATGCTTATTAAGTACGAGCTATTTTAAACTTGTTTTTTGTATACAGTATTATTAAGTCATTGACAATATATTCCTGTTTATTTTTTTTGTAAATGTGCAGTAAATATATGTCAAATGTTTTTTTTTTCTTCTTCAGTATTTCTTCCAAAAAGTTAAAGTTCACGTTGACTTATAAAAAAATGTCCAAATATGTCCAGGCTGATAAATATCTTGTTTGATAGAGCTACCTTTATAGAAGAAAGGCACATGTTTTTTGTTTGCTAATATTTGCTATTCTTAGGAAAAAGTGCTTTTATTTTACATCATGCAGTGCATTAGGAGTGGATATCTTTTTTCACATAAGTGATATTTAAATCTTTTTGGGGCCTTTTAAACTATCTATGAAAATTCTTATTTACTGAATTCAATATATACAGGGTGACAATTTGAAAAGTTGCAATCGGAAATATCTCTTAGACAAAAAATAATATCAGGAAGATTTCAAATACGTATCGGGAAATTGGAGGGGGTAGCTACCCCAACCTTTTTTTTTTTTAATACGAACCTACTTTGTGTTGCACATCGTTGGATAGCTCGTTGTTGTCCCTTTACAGTCCTATAGAAAAATCTTAAATCGAACGATTAGTTTTCGAGATATCTGTGTTTAAAAGTAAGCACATTGTGAAAACTAGTAACTTTGACTATCTCATAGACAAAAAAAAATTGTCATGAAAGTCTCGGATACACATATCGGCGGAACCAAATAATGTGTTTATCGTAATTCTATCTGCTTCTGCGCGTCTCTAAAGACGAATAAAAAAAAACCTTTCAAAGGAGCTATCACACGGGGTAGGTTCTCATTTTAGAAAAATTATTAGGAGCGGCTAGTCCTCAAGGCAAGAGGGGTAGGGGTTAGGCAATAAGCACATTAGGTTTCCCCGATGTATATTTGCCCACGATTGTTCATATTCTTCTGATTCATGGAGCAGAAATTTGCGAAAATTTTAATTAAATTCCAATTGGTAAATTATCTGGAGCTTCTCCAGGCTAGAACAAAGAATTTAGCCAGAATTTTTCCAGAAAAATTGGAAGAAGACAGAATATTGAGGATATTCTGCATAATCTATTGATTTTTTCAGATCCTTTAATTTCATCAATTAGACCAAAATATAGTTGTAAAAAAAAGTTTGTATTATATTTAGAGGCGCAGGAACTGTTAGATATGGAACAAGAAATGGAAGAGGAAGTTGATTCAGATTAGGAAAGAAATATTTCTGGATATTTATTCGAATAGGTTAAAAATATATTATTTCTTATTGGTGTGGCGTGCGCTTAGAACTGGGTATTTTTTAAATTTTTACACCCTGTATACTGCTAATTACAAATATACTTCAGAAGAAAAATATGTTTGCTAAATTTTATCAATAATAACAATTATTACATTAGTATTACTAGAATAAGTAAGTTAGAAACGTTGATGTCCACTTTTTTCCCGTTTCGCTACACTGTGCGCCGATACCCTTGTGACGTCAATACTGATGCGCGTTTGTCTTTTGTGTAACCTTTCGTCTTTGTGTCCCGACTCATGCGCTAAGTCTAAAAGTTGTATGAGGGAGGGAATTGTTTTTAAAAAGTTTCACTTCTTAACACGTGTACGATGCTACATAAGATTTTTTTTAATGTTTTAATAAAGTTCATATTTGGCCAACGTTTAAATCATGAACTTTAACTTGAGGTTTTTGTTAGAATTTCTTGTACTAGGTACGTGAAGATTCATCCATTATCATATTTTCTTATATAATGCCGGAATCCTGTTCGTAATATATATTTCGTATTAAAGTCTAGAAATTCAATTCATCAGTTTTTTTGGTAATTATTTATCCAATTTGTGTGAAAATGAGAAATGTTGTTTGAAACAAGGTTTAAACGGTAATGTCTCGTTGATATGCTGCAGTTTTCAGATGAATAAAAAGTAATTATAAAAGTGGTTTTTATTTCATTTTGACTAGTATATTATTTAACCTAAAATAGCTAGGAAGAAGATATAATACTAAAAGATTATATCAAAGCCGTAAAATAGAAGACAACTGGAAGAACAACATTTCAACGATAAACCTAATTAATGATCGATTGATGGTTACTTGATGGAAATGTATTATAAATTTTGAAATGAAACAAAAAGATTATAACTTCCAGAAATTTTTAATTGTTCGTGACATGTTTTGTCATACGGTGCTTTTTTGTGTGCCTCTGAAAAAATCAAAATGGACGTGTCCTAGAGAAAAGTCAGGAAAGTGTTGATTTGAGAATAACAGGCCCAGAAATTGTTTCTCATTTAGCCCATGGTAACTTTGACAGTGAATATCTCAAAAACTAATTATTCGATTTTCAAAAAAAAATACGCAGTTTTGACGAGAATCAAAATACCTTTAAAACAAAGTGACACTCAACCCATCTTCTGTATCTTTAAAAGAAGGGTGAAAGTGATCACCCCACCCAGGGGGTGCACCCTAGCGAAATACCGATGGGGTCAAAAACAGTCCCCCTTGAAAACAAAATTGACGTGTCCTTTTTTTTTTTAATCGACCTTAAAATACCCCGAAACGCCCCTGTTTCGATGTTCGTGAAACATCCTGCAAAAATGAACCCTACGAACATAAAACATAATATAGTGAAGACCTTTTCGAAAAAAGTATGCAAATCCCTAAAACATAGAACATCTCCAGCGGAAATCCCAGGTGAACTATTCAAATATGGAGCAAGCACTCTGTGATATTAGAATAGAATTTGGGTATCCTACATATTTATTTAAATGAAGGTGACAAAACCAAATGCGAAAATTAATGTGGAATAGCAATAACAATAACGATGAGTAGAATCCATGCGAACGTTATTAAAATAGATTGTAACAAGAATACCAGGTCATGAAAGCAGAAGAGGAATCATGTTTTCGAGCAGGCAGATCGACAGTGGACCACTCATTTACACTACCTGAGGTCATAGAAAAAAAATGAGCGAGAAGGCAAAAAAATACATTTGTTTACTTTCAAACAACAAAAATCGATTATTAACTACCTACACTATGGCAAAACAGAAATCAAAAATAAAATTCCAGGATGTGAGAGCTTATAGGGGAGCGATCTGTGGTGGTGACACCTACCTCCTGAAAACAAAAAACTTTATTGCGGGCAGAAACTCCGCAAAAGACAACGGAGAGAAAGACAAGAAGACAATATTGTTCCTGAGAAATACAACCTGAAATATTTAGAAGAACAAAGCGTAAAGGGGTTGTAGGTACATGCAAAAATTGGACCAAAAATTACAAGGTACCTAGTCCGAACTTCCAAAACCTTGAAATACATTACCTGCATATCGAAGGTTATGTGAAGGAATCGGGTAGTCTCGCTTATCTACGAAACCTCATACGTAGCAAGATCAATAGCGATACCACAAAAAAAAATCCATTTGGTGAAGAATAATCATTATTGATTTTAATTTTTTTGATTCGATTTAATTTTTTGATTGGTATTATTTTTTTTATAGGGCGAAAATCTATGCTTATAGGCCAAGCAATGAAGGAAGTTTACCTCAACATAATTAGAAGTTA